ACAACAATAAAGATGTAGATATTATCGTTATCATTATACGTATTCTGTATAAATGCGTTGGTTTATCATTATTTACCAAGCACAAATGCCTTAATTGGTGATGATTTATGAACTTAACCATATCGATATGCATAATTGTGTATGGGCATTTACGATATCGGTTAGTAACTATGCGCATAATGCGCATAGGCACATCTCTAATTATGTCGCTGTTGATGAATGACGATGAACATTTAATCCATAAAAGAATGTTTCAAGAATCGTTATGAATACCACAATGTAAAATTATACGGTATTCATTATATCCAGCACCATGATCCTGCTGATCCATAAAACGAATATTTATTTTCATTCAATCGATATTGAATCAAGAATCCTATCAATGATATTATAAGATTAAATGGCCAAATAATTGCCATAGAAATCTCAAGATAATATTTTGGTTCATATCCTTTGAATACCGAGTAAAATGTGTGAAGACAAATAGAAGTTGCCCAAAATCCTATTATTTAAAATAATCATCATTTAATCACGTACTGTAAGTTAAGAAGTCAGAGTTAAAAATTAATTTACCCACCCGAAGCAACATCTCCGATGTTAATAATAACGCCTTGAGCATCACACCATCGACTACCCTCAATTATTTTTCCTCTTATAAGCCAAAAGTAACTCATCATAAATCCAATATTTTGCAGCCAATCAGAAATCAATAGATTTATTATAATGTTTTCTTCGCTTTATTTTCTTTAATAAGTATCGATGTGACAATAAGATGACTTATTGTACTAAAGAAACAAATAGCAATCATGCCATTAATGTGTTGCTGTTTTTCAGTAGTCATTTTTTTTAAAGATTACTTGGTTGAGAAAATTGTAATTTATATGTGATAGTATGGCATGTATAATACATCTATTAATAAATTAAGGTAAAAATACAGCGTATCACAACAGGAATGGTCCCATCCCAAGGCCATATAGCATACACGATTTTGTAAAGAATAAGTATATATACAGTACATGCTAATACTAAAAAAATTAGTTGAAACCAATCTAATATCGAGAGAAAGGCCTAGATGCACATGAGGCTTATTGAAAATCTTTTTTTGATCGCTTGTTGTAATATCAAATAGTTCAAGTAATTGATCAAAATAATATTTTGAAATTAAAAAAACAATATTTGAGAAACATATCTAGCATATTATTAAGATGGAATACTGACTGAAATAAACGATTGTAGTTCGCGCACAATTTTCCACTCTTCTGATCCCCATTTGATACTCCCATCTCGCCACTTAAAAATGTAATTTTTTTATTTCAGATATTTGTAAAACAAAGGAAATGAAATTAAATCGCGTACCCATCGTCCTATAGCACCTCCATCGAATTCAATGTTTCTGTGGCCATGTTGAGTCCAAAAAACGGGAATGTCTTTCTTGTGGCAAGTTTTAACAATATATTGCACGTTTGGGATAAAGAAATTCCTATTAAGAAAGAAGGTTTAGAAAAATAATAATTTTCAGACAAAATTTCATTTGCATTTCAGTGACCAGAAAGGCGGCGGCTTGTAATTGTAAGGAATAGAGGTCAGCATACCATATAAAATTCGATAATAACAATTGAAAAAATAGACAATTTATATACATA